GTCTGGGCATCTGTTCAACGTCAATCTTCGTTTTATGTTCATCTTGGTTCTGTATCTCTGTCTTTTCTTACTTTTCTTTTTTTCCTTTCCTTTTTTTTATCTGTTTAGTTTATTCACTGCTTTATTATATTCTGCTTCCTTGTTTTTTTTTCGCTTTTATCTCTTTATTCTTATGTACATATATACACATGTATATATGTATATACGTATATATGTATATGTATATACGTGTGTGTATATATATATATACATACATATGTATATACGTGTATACGTAGACATATATATATACATATATATATATGTATATATATATATAAATATGTATATATGTATAGATAGATATATACATATATATATACATATATCTATATATATAGATATATACATATATATATACATATATATATACATATATACGTATATGTATATATATATATATGTTTTTGCATATATATATACGTATATATATATATATACATATATATATGTATATATACATAGATATATATGTATATATATATAGATATATATGTGTATGTATATATATACATTTATATATATAAATATATATACGTATATATATATATATATATATATATATATATATACATATTTTGTGTCTGTGTGTGGGATATATATATATATACATATATGTGTATATACGTGTATACGTATATATATATATAAATATATATATATGTATATATATATACATATATATGTATATACATTTATACGTATATATATATTCGTATATATATATAAATATGTATATATATAGATATATACGTATATATATATATATATACGGATATATATACGTATATATATATTTATATATATAAATATATACGTATTTGTATATATATACGTATATGTATATATATATATATATATATATATATATATATATATATATATGTGTGTATGTGTGTGTGTGTATATATATACGTACATATATATATATACATACGTATATATATATATAGATATATAGATATAGATATATCTGTATATTTATATATGTACATATTTGCATGTATATATATTTATATGCATATTTGCACGTATATATATTTTTATACATATTTTGTGTCTGTGTGTGGGATTGGAATTGTGTGTGTGTGTGTGTGTGTGCGCGCGTGCGCGCGTGCGTATAAATATACATCTAATGAACATCTAATATGTATTTGTCTTTTCTCATTTTTCTTCTGCACACACACCACCCCTTTACAGAGAAATATCCCTCCGATGCACAATGTATTAACGTAACGAACTTACATGTTATTTTGCCCTGGACTGTGAGGCGCTGCAATGCCCTGGTCTCCTGGTCTTCCAAGAACGGATGCGCCTGGGTATAGCCTCTCTTGATTGACTGGTTTTATCTTATCTCTCTGTGCCGGCACCGATACGGCGTTTAACGACTCCTTGGCGCCATTTTTCATATTTATTTCATCTCTGTCCCAAAAGCATCGAAGTGTTTCTATATTGAAATTGTCAATGAACGTCTTTCTCGGTCTACTTCGACCCTACCTACCTTTCAATTAATGGGTCTCGCAGTGTAAACATTTCAGAGCAGCTCATCTGTTGAATTAAGTGTATATGAATTAGTAATGTTTTTCTGTTCCTTTTGAAGTAATGCCTATGTGTACGTATCTTAAAAGATTTAGATTGTCTTATTTCACAGCTGCTTTTGTCCGTTTAGAATAGATTCGTTTATAAGGCAAAACGATGACCAGCAGGCAAGACGGCGTATCTCTGCGTCCCAACTTGATCCCTGCGCTGCGTATAATCTCATTAGATAATGGCTTTGTACTGTCACTCCACATCACCTTACTGCACTTCACTTAAATAGTTGTGAACATGAAATAATATCCTTACCGAGGCTTGGTTGTCTCTCCGCACAATACCCCCTTGGGTGGGCACACCAGTAACGTCTCTTTTGTCCGGGGGCTAGAATCAGGGTGTGTGTTTTCAGGGAACACCACCCCCCTTGTTGATTGCGACTTTTGCTGTTTTCTTTAATTGTTTTTCCATCTTTTTTGCTTCATAGTCTTATTTCAACCACCTTATTCCTATATCGTTTTTGTTCTATGTGATTTTTGTGTTGGTCAGTATGAATTGTTACATTAAAATGTTGGTCACGAGTCCCTATCACAAATACCTATCATTTGCTAATTCAAAGGACTTAAATGTTGAATTAATAACGAATAATATATAATGAATAATAAATAATAAATAATATATAGTGTGGCATTCTTTGTAAGATTCTATAAAAACTAATCTCCGTTGCTTTAGATTTCATTCATCAGGGACTCTCTGCACATCTACTCCCTTACATATATATATATATATATATATATATATATATATATATATATATATATATATGTATACATATATATGTATGAATATATATGTGTGTGTATATATGTGTGTGTGTGTATGTGTGTATATATGTGTGTGTGTGTGTATGTGTGTATATACATATATATATATATATATATATATATATATATATATATATATATATAAAGTATATATATATATAATATATATATATATATATTATATATATATATATATATACATATATATAAATACATATTTACATATTTATATATTTATATATATGTTTCTGGCTGTGTTTGTGATTGTGTGTGTGTGTGTGTGTGTGTGTGTCTGTGTGTGTGTGTGTGCCTGTGGGTGTGTGGGTGTGAGTGTGTGACTGTATGTGTGTGCATGAATATATATATATATATATATATCTATATATATATATATATCTATATATATATATATCTATATATATATATATCTATATATATATATATCTATATATATATATATATATATATAATATATAATCAATAATAAATAATAAATAATAAATAATATATAGTGTGGCATTCTTTGTAAGATTTCTATAAACCTAATCTCCGTTGCTTTAAGATTTCATTCATCAGGGACTCTCAGATCTTATTCTCTGCACCTCTACTCTCCCTTACAGATATATCTATATATATATATATATATATATATATATATATATATATATATGTATACATATATATGTATGAATATATATGTGTGTGTATATATGTGTGTGTGTGTATGTGTGTATATATGTGTGTGTGTGTGTATGTGTGTATATACACATATATGTATATATATATATATATATATATATATATATATATATATAAAGTATGTATATAAATGTGTATATATACGTATGTATATATGTATATATATACATATATATAAATACATATTTACATATTTATATATTTATATATATGTTTCTGGCTGTGTTTGTGATTGTGTGTGTGTGTGTGTGTTTGTGTGTGTGTGTGTGTGTGCCTGTGGGTGTGTGGGTGTGAGTGTGTGACTGTATGTGTGTGCATGAATATATATTCATACATCTAATCAACATATGTATTTGTCTATTTATGTCTTTTTCCATTTTCCTTCTCTAAATTAATCACCTTTTTTGCAGAAAAATATCCCTCCGACGCATAATGCATTAACGTAACGAACTTACGTGTTATTTTGCCTTGGCCTTCTATGAGACCCTGACCTGGTCTCCTCGTCTTCCCAGCACGGACGTACTTTTGTCACTGACATGCCTGGTTTCATTTCTCTTGATTAACGGGTATCGATAGCGCAAACATTTCAGAGCAGCTCATCCATAGAACTGTTTTTTTTGGAGTGATGAATATGTGTATGTGTCTTGAAAGGCACAAGGATGTCTATTTCATAGCTGCTTCTGTCCGGAAAATTACAGTTTAGAATAGATTCGTTTATAATTTTCATGTAGTTAAATAAAACTATTCCTATGTGTTTGTATGAATGTATATGTATGTATATATATATAAATATATGAATATATATATATATAGAAATATGAATATATATATATGCATATATATAGATGAATATATATATGTGTGTGTGTGTGTGTGTGTGTGTGTATACATACATTCATATATATATATATACATATATATATATATATATATATATATATATATATTTATATGATTCTTATATATACTATGTATGCGTGTGTGTGTGTGTGTACTGTATATATATATATGCATATATCTGCGCGCAGAAAAAAAACGTCCTATTGAACTTTTGAATATATGTACGCGTCTTGAAAGCTACAAATACGTTTAGGTTATCTTATTTCACAGTTTATTTTTGTGTGTGTGGAAAAGATGGAAGGGAGGAAGGGAGGGAGGTAGGGAAAGAGAGAGAGAGGTGGGGGAGGGAGAGGATGGAGGGAAGTAAGGAGGGGGGGAGGGAGGTATATTTTTTTCCGAGAGAGGATAAGGCTTCATACTGAATAATTCATACTTATCTTTCCATAGATACAGATATCTCTTGTTAGAAGTACAAAAAAGAACATATATATGAGTGAGGTAGACTTCAGCCAAGGATGGTTCTATAGTTTTTATTTCTATATCTTTCGCTCTATCTACTTCTGCCGCAGTGTTGATAGAACAATTACAGATTAATTTAATTCAATGAAGTTTTAAAAAGAATAATATAAGAAAGAAAGAAAAAAATATCGAATTTGCGTCACTTGCAGGATAATTAACTACTTACTACATAGCGCCTTTCTCTTGCGTAATGTAGGGGTGAGTGTTGCTACATCTGTCCGTTCTTGTGCAGTCTAGTAAACTGAAACCCTTAGTTCTCCTTCTCACATGTATTTAAACCTCTCTTGAGTTCAAGATTGTCAGGTTCCTCAGACGAGACTGGCATATACCTGTGTTGGTTCCAGTGGTGGATCCAGGTCATAAGGGGTCGTCCTGTGCCCACTTTCTCAGCGTCTTTGAAAGTCTGGGGAAGTGGTAGGCCGATAGTCTCTGGGAGGAACAGACCTAGGAAGGCACCGAGTAACATGAACGATGCGAGGAGCCAGTAAGGAAAAGAGTCGCCATAGCCCGACTGGGGGGAAAACGGTTGCTATAAGAATAGGGGATTTTGTTTCCTTTTTTTGCGAATAAGGAACTACTATTAGAATTATTCGTATCACAATTCATATTCATATCACATGTCCTATTACCGAAAAAATATCCTATAAAATATACCAGGTTCATCATTACAACTTAAGTACTACCTAATACTTAATACCACAAAACAAAGAACGCAAAATACATACATGAAGAATATATGGGGTTGATACCATGGCTCCCATTCCACACACCACCATCCAAGCTAACCCAGTGGACCTGACCGGCGTGGGAAAGATCTCTCCACACTGAATCGTCACGACGTACATAAGCTGTGTGGAGAAGAGCCTGATGCATGCAGCTACGGCCAGCATCGCCCACTTGTCTGAAGGAGGAAAGTAAACGGAGGAAATGTTAGCGATGCGTTATATATGGAAGTCAAGGTTAAAAAATGAAAATCCCTTAAAAATATATTCAATATTTATATATATGTGTGTGCGTACATATATATAAAGGGATTAAACACATATGTGCTGTGGTATATTCCACTTAGCGGACTGGGGTGGGAGGTAAGTGGGAAGGAAGGCACGTTCATCCGCCACGTGTCCAGCAAGAAAGAAGAAAAAAACGCGTTGCTAAAAAGAAGTAATCCAACCTTCAAGACAGAAAGTCGCCGCAACACAGAAAGCAGCAGTTGTGAGGAAGGAGAGGATGCAGGTGCAGCGACGACCGAGGTAGTGCGTACACACCCAGCCGAGGCCGTTGCTTGGGAGCTCCGAGATTGACAACACGAAATGGCTCAGGAAAAAGTTGCTCGAGAGAACAGTGACTCCGAGGAACACCACGCCATAAATTAAGTAAGTGCAAGCACTGAAAAACAAGCATTTATTTTCACTCTATGGGTAATAACGGTGGTCTTGTGATGGTTAATATATGTATGTATATATAATTTTATATTAATATGTATATATATGAATATATATATGTGTATGTATATATGAATATATATGTGTATGTATATATGAATATATATTAATGTAAATATACATAGATATACATGTGCACGTGTATACACATAAGCAATTGCTGATATTATGTGGGCATAACCATAAATACCTCCTACATATTAAGAACAATGCACTTGGATGAATGTTTTTTGAAAATCTGTATCAAGTATTAATATTTTCTGAACTGAGAGGCATCGGGTAATTGGAAATAAGTATTTTTGTGCAGAACAAAAGAAGTAAAATGTTAGCTTCTCTCATAAGTAGCTAGCATCGGACACCCTTCTACCACTGCAAATGATTAAGCCTTTGTTCCTAAGCTGTACCTAGCCTATACAAGAGGTATAAAATTATATTTGTACCTATACACACAGAAACAGACAC